CCCCTTCTATCATTAACATCATTTTTATTCCTAATAATATTTTTTGCCTTAAAAATTGTATCTGATCTTAATATTTTTTTCTTTCCTTCCTCCCTTCTTTTCTGTCTCTTTTTCTCTCTCTTTAGAATCTGGTAGGTCCCCTCCTCCTTTTCTTTTAATCCTTTAGTTTCAAACTTCCTACGTAATGACATTTCACACATGTGTTCTATAAACAGCAAAAACTTGTATTAAAAAACTAGGAGGGTTTCTGTATTTTAATAGCTCAGTTTAATCTGTTTTTGTTTATCATGACTACTAATATATTTGGATTTTTCTTATTTTAACTTTCTGTCCTTCCTCTTTTCCTTCTTTCTTTCTACTTTCCTTCCTTTTATTGGATTGATTCAGCTTTTTAAAATCCCTTTCCCTGTTTCTCTACTGGATTAGAAATTATACATTCTATTTTATACCTTAAATAATTATTAAATTATAAACTTGTATATTTAAAAACATAAAGCTAATCAATAGCTTTTCCATGAGAAACAAAAAATTTAGAATACTTTATCTTTGGTTTGACTGCTTCCCATCTTCCATGTTGCTGTTCTTTAGAATTTAAATTTCAACTTGTTTTCAAATCACCACTCTCATGCATGCACATTCATGTCTGTTTAGATTTGCCAATGTGTTTCTTCAGTCACCAGCACTGCTTGGCACTTTACTGCTTACTTCTGGGTTCAATTTCTTACTAACTGAAGAATTTTTTTTTAGCAATTTTTTTCAGCAGTGGTCAGTTGTTGAATGTTCAGGTCTTTTAGTCTCAATTTGTCTGAAAATGTCTTTATTTCACCATCATTTTTGGAAGGTAGTTTAAAAGCTATAGATTTCTACCTTGACAGGTAATTTCCCTCAGGACTTTGAAAATAGTATTCCACTATAGCTGGGCCTTAATTGCTGCTTTTAGGAAATTTCCTGTTAGTCTGATTGTCACTCTCCCACAGGTAACCTGCATTGTCTCTTTGGTAGTTAAAAAAAAAAAAAATTCTTTTCTCTATTCATTTGATGTCTGCAGTTTCATTATGATGTACCTAGGTGCAGACTGATTTTTATTTCTCCTGTTCAAGACTTAATATCCTTATTCAACTTGAAGATGTACGTATTTCTTCAGTTCTGAAATGTTCTTAGCCATTGTTTCTTCAAATATCACCCCTATGTCACTCCTGTCATTTTTCCCTTTTTAAACTCCTATTAGCAGTGTGTTGGACCTTCTCTTTGTGTCTTCCACATTAACCTCCCTTTCATATTTTTCTATCTTCTTATCTATCTGTACTCCATTCTCGGTAATTTTCTCAGATCTATTTTCCAATTAAATATTTTTTTTCTTTGTCTATGTCTAATCTACTGTTTAATGTCTACAGTGTTTTTATGTTAATGGCAATATTTTTCATGTCTTGGAGCCTAGAAGTGTTCTATTTAGTTCTTTCTCAAACATTTCTGTTATTTTCCATAAGATATTTCTTCCTTTATGATTATTACATCTCCTTTATATCTCTAGATATTTTAAACATGTTTATTTCATAGTTTTAGATTTTTAAAAATATTTTTTTGTGTGGGGATGTTAATATACATGTCTAACATATATTGTTTTGGCAAATATTGTCTTCTGGATAAACCCCATGTGTACTGGCTTGTGAAAGGAACTCTATAGGAAGTTTTAGCATTTACAACTGTCATGGGTATAAGCATTTCACTTGTTCTGGACTAGGTTTTATGGTAATTTCTCAGTGTAAA